CCAAGGGTTTTTGCTAGTTGAGATAAGGATAGCTGTACAGGGATTTTACTCGCATTAATTTCCTATGCATGTGTGTTACCTTCTAGGTTAATTCTTTTTGATCTAACCTTTTCTCTAGTTTCTGGTCCCCTTCTCCTATTGGCCTCAGTTGCTTTTATAAGGTATCTGCTTTAGTTTCTCTGTGTTGAGGGCAACAAATACTAGCTAATTTTTTTAAGTGTCTTACCTATCCTCACCCCTCCCTTGTGTGCTCTCGCTTTTATCATGTGCTCAAAGTTCAATTCCCTCGTTGTGTTTGCCCTTGATCTAATGTCTGCATATAAGGGAGAACATACGATTTTTGGTCTTTTGGGCCAGGCTAACCTCACTCAGAATGATGTTCTCCAGTTCCATCCATTTACTAGTGAATGATAACATTTCGATCTTCTTCATGGCTTTTTGCCCATCTTCATAGAATTAAAAACTTAATACGATTTATTTCTTTTACAAAAACTTGTATAGTGCTTGCCACAAGCCAGACGTTGTTCTAAGTGCCTTATTAGCAGTAGCAACCCATTTACTAAGAATCTGACAGCAACATTGTGAAGCAAATTGGGAATTCTCCCCATTTTACATACGTGCCTAAGCTCCCACAGCTAGTGTGTGGGGAACCCTTATTCAGATCCTGTAATCTGCCTCCACAATATGTTATCTTAACCACTGTCCTCTCCTGCCTGTCCAGAAAGATCATTGTGGGAGGGTTGACTCCAAATTCTTTCCTGAGTCAGACCCTTTCTTCTAAGTTTTATTTGACCAGACAGGGGAGCTGGGAGGGATGTAGTGCTGGGAGACTTTTTACAGGGTGTTCTTCTTGATGTTTGGGAGGTAGGCAGTTTGGCAGCTTCTTAATGAGGCTGATCATTAGCCCTCCTTGCACAGAAGAGACTTTCCTGTAGGAAATCCTAGCCTGTAGATCAGGACAAAGAATGAGACCTATATTCAAAGTCATGGCAGAAACTAGATAAAGGGAATGCTATAGTTTGCATCTGGAATGTCCCCAAAGGGTCATGTGTTAAAGGCTTGGTCTCCAGCTTCAAGCTATGATGAGGTGCCTTGATATGCTGCTATAGGTCCAAGGTAATGGATCAAACCACCTTGGGTTGAAATCTCCAAAACTGTGAACCAAGTAAACCTTTCCTGTTTATAAGTTGACTATCTCATATATTTTGTTACAATAATAGAAAGCTAACACAAGAGGGTGAGAGGTAGTATTGTCAATTGGTAGGAAATGTGTGCTCCAAATTGGACATCCGACTGCTGTGCTGAAAGAGCTGCTTTCTCAAGGCCTACTTTGCTAGGATGCTCCAGGATGAGCAACATCAAGGATTTACTTGTTTGAGTATGGCCAGTGTTCTCTGAAGCAATGAGGAAGAGACTGACACGTGTGTGTGTGTGTGTGTGTACTGTACCCAGCCATTACTCTTACATTCATCAATACTTGCTTGGTCCACACAAAGTTTTCATAGATAGCAAGGAGTTTATGTTAACATTATTTTGTGAGGAGCTGCTTGCCTGTGGCGTCTTTCTACATGTATAAACCTGTGTCCGTCGGTATATGTAAGGGGCACCTGTCCCTCATTTTTAGTTGCTTTGGCAGATGACTTTCTTCCCCTGTGAGGTATCTTTGTCCTCTCTCCTCACATAGCCCCTCCAGAATGACTTCTGCTCTACCCGAAACAGCCCTCCAGCTTTATGCTCTTGGAGCAGCATTTGACACGATAGCCAAAAGGTAGAAGAGCCCAGTTGTCCATCAGGAGATAAATAGATAAGTAGAATGTGTTCTATTATATATATAACATATATAACATAGAAGATTATTAAGTTTTAAAAAGGAAGGAAATTTCTTGATATTTTTTGACATGGATGAACCTGACTCCCAGTCACAAGAAGAGCAACTACTGTTTAATTCCACACTTCAGAAATACCTAGAGCAGTCAAATTTGTAGAGACAGAGGTAGCATAATGGTTGCCAGAGGCTGGGAGCAGGGTGTAGGAGAGAATGAGGAGTTGTTTAATACAGTTTCAGTTTTGCAAGATGAAAATACTTCTGGAGATTGGTTGCACAAGAGTGTAAATACTTAACAGTGCTGAATTCTACACTTAAAAATGGTTGAGATGGTAACTTTTATGTTATGTGCATTTTAATCACAAATGAAAAACAACAAAGCCCTTCAGATTCAATATAAAATCTGTGCAGCTCTTTCAGTGTATTGCTTTAAATGACAGTCAGATAACTGTAGGTAGTATCTGGTTCTACCTTCCGTGGTTGAGAACAACCAACTCCACCTTGCTTTCTAGGTAGCCAGCATTATGGTATGTGTGAATGCGTTTATATCAGTTCAGAAAAAAGCTCATTCTGGAAGTTGGAGAAAGGGAAAGCAAGTATGGTTGGCAGTGTGAGCAGAGATTGTGAAGGCAGGAATGAATCAGAGAGGCAGGAATGAACTGAACATGTCCTGGGTGACTGAGAAAGGGTTGCGGTTTCTGTAGGGAAGGACAGTTGATGGGACCAGAGCAGAATGCAGAGTGCTGTCAGCAGTCTTTTTTTTTTTCCCCAGCCTCTAACTTTTTGGTAATGTAAGTTTTGCTAGTTTGCTTACATTTTATTTTCTCTACACAAGTATCAGAGTATTTGATGGCTTCTATCAAGGATCTAGATGCATTCCAGTTATTGGTATTTATTTTAACCAGTATTTCAAAGAAGACACTGTGTTATGAGTTACTAGGATTGATGTAAAGATCAAGCCAGAGCCCCCTAACCTTAAAGAGTTTCTTGGTCAGGTAGGCAGGATAAGAAGCATGACCAAATGTAATTAAAACACATGGCAGAGTTTGATAAGCAATATAAAGAACAGTTTGTGGAAACACAGATTTGATTCTCAGAACTGAGATCAGAGAGGTTTCCTGAAATAGCAGGAAGTAGAACCTTGAAAGATGGGAGGGGTGTTAGGAGGTAGAGATAATGGGGATACAGATATGAGGTGAGCACATGACACACGTAGAGAGGGGAAGGCCAGAGTGGTTTCTGCTAGGGAAGGCAAAGAGCTCGATGTCTTCAGTAGGATGCATGTTGGCTTTA